TTTAAAGTCTATGATAACTATTTCTGCCATTCATTCTAATATGTGAGTGTAAAACACAGAAGTTGATTGGTAAAGAGCTACATATCAATATTGTGTGAATGAAATTATCAGTGAAATAATTTCAGATATTTCTTATAATACAGTTGCTTAGTTTTGTAAAAGTTATGAGATGGTCAACTATATTTTTCCTGTTCTTTTATCCCACCAACACAAAGTGAGTTTTTCACCTAAAGATATTCTACTTGTTTTAAATGCATAAACTTATATATGTGACATGGAACTGTTTAAAGCACATGTATCATAATATGTGACAACCAGATGATCTCTACATGAAGTATAGTTCTTCATTCATTTCCCTATAGCAAATAGTATGCACCCACTAACACGTGATCATCCAGCTAAAGTACCAAGTATTTCTTTCTGTTAACAAGTCAGAGGTACTTATGAATACCCCCCAATAAACCTGTGCAAATACAATTTTTTTGTAGATGCAATTAGAATATCCTAGAGATAAGCTGGAAGCTCCTTTTATGTCCCCCTTTTTCAGAGGTGAAATGAGATTAGAGGTACTATTCTATTTGTCAACAATCAACCTTTCACTCAATTTTAATATTATTTAATACTATGGAACAAAACAAGTTTTATTACATTCCTTTTTAAAATGGGGGAAAACTGTACAATTAAGCATGATCAAACCTCTGTTAGAGCTGGTTAATACTGATATTTTATTATTGCCTTGAAGTCTCTAAGTAGTGTCCAAGAAATTATGTTAAGGTCCGTCTGAAGGAAAACGGCACTGGAGAGGCAAGAAAGGGCTTGGGTAAAAGCTTCAGAGGGTTTGTAGGGAGACGGAACATTTTGCTTAAAAAATTATGCTGAGCTCTGTAGCCTCTCCATTTCTTAACATACCTTCCAAACCCATCACTGGGATTGTTTTAGAGGATCATATTATATGCTGTTTGGGGGCTTTAATAAATTCAGAAAGTAAAGGAATATAGAGTTGTCAGTATTGAAGGCTTAAGAGTAGGGTTATGAGACTCAATAAGGTAAATAAATCCCCAAACAAAAACACCCAATCTACCCTCCCCTCCAAATGTTAAGTGTAAAAGGAGAAAATGCATAGCCATAGCATTGAAGAAAAGCATGTAACCGTGAATAACCATATACCAGACAATCTAGAAACAAAGAAAAACAAACAACATACATACACACAAAAAGGCCTAAGGAACACCAACTTTCTAATGTCTTTAGGTGAGCATCTCTACACTAGTGGACTCTATGGCATGAAAACAATTCATCTGCTTTGTAAAGTAAAAAAACTGTGTTTCCTATCATGCTCCGTTCTTTAGAATCTATTCTTTCTGTTTGGAGTAATCAAAGAATAAAACACATATACATGCATGCGTGCACACACATACATATAAGACTTCCCTTCTAAAATGTGAAAAATGCAAATACATAACACTGGCTTAAGACATCTCTTTAGCTTTATACTGAAGAACTTAAGGACCTTGATCTGCCTCCCAAATATACTTCCCTGTCTTAATGTCCAACTCATCAAAAGAAAGAAGGAAAAAAAAGACTTTTAAATGTGTATGTTTCAAGTCAGTGTCTTATTGACAAAAAAGTAGCATTTTTTTCACTTTGGCCATTGTTACATATGCAGTCATAGAGCAGGGAATGTTAGGCTAGCATGTATTTAAAAAATACAACATTAACAGAGCATATATCTTCCAAAAAAGACTAAAACACTAACAAATACAAGTTAATGCACAAATTTTAAACTAGTGTAACTTTATCTACATTGAGTAAATGTTACCTTTGGACCAGATATTGCAATACTGTTCATTTCCCTTTCATCATGCAAGCATGCCAGTTTTGTAGGAAAAATCTTTAGTGGGTTATAGTCATGTTGCCCTCCCACCCAAATTAAGGGGAAAAAACAAGGACAAACATGAAAATGAGAAATCCCAGTAAGAGCCCCTTAAGAGTTCATGAACAACTGAGCTAAACTTGCTAACAGAAATGGCAGAATTTTCAGACATATATTTTAAGAAAAAAATCGTGTAATTTAAACAGATGTTTTCTTCTTCACAAATCTCCCAATACCATGTGAAATCACACTACCAGACACTTGAATCCAAACAATTCTGTATAAAAGCAAAACCAAGGGACCATGAAAAGCAGAGCTTTCATGGTCCCCATGGCCTGAAAAGCATACAATTGAAAGGGTAACTGTGAGATCCTGCCATTTTTCTGTATATCAACTGTTCTGCCTCTCTGTAGAATCTGTAAACGAGTCAGTAACATATTATCAGCAGAGGTCTCATCTATTTTCCCTTCTAACCAACCTTACTAATTTTCTCTCATCCTGAGCATTTTCCATGAACAGCATTGCAAGTTGGTTAAAGGGGGAAGGGAGGGGAGGGAAGGGGAGAACAAGTTTTACAAGGGTTTTCTTGATTAATTATTACCGGTGGAGTCACTCCACCAGGAGTTTGATTTCATTGGCTAACAGCTGGTTCATGTTGAACAGCTCCCCCTGGGAGCTTGGTGAGCAGCTCTCGCTCCCTGCTTTCAGGGTCGCTGTTGACAGAGCTGGAACTTGCGCTCATGTTGTCGACAGCAGTACTAGCAGGGGGACCCAGCTCCGGCTCCCTAGTCTCACTGGCTGTGGACACAGAGAGCAGGGACATGCGCTGGGTGAGCCGGCCAGAGGGCAGAAGGGAGGCGACATAGTCTGCTATGATACCAGCTACATCTAGATTACAAGCCTTATCAAAGGCAATGAAACCTACATTTGCATTGGCCTCGCAGACACAGAAGGAGCCCTCGTCTTTCATCAATAGGTCAATGCCACACACATCCATCCCCAAGATATTAGACACCTGGATAGCTAGCTTCCCTTGTTCACTCAATGAGCACATCATCCCCACACCACCTAGTGAGCAGTTGCTTTGCATCCTTCCATCTGTTGAACAACGTAACATGGTGCCAATTACAGGGCATCCCATAACAATGACACATACATCCTTTCCATGAGACTCTTTTATGTATTCCTGGAACAGGTATGGTGCTTCATGGTGAATAAGATGGCTTAGGTCTGCCAAATGGTGTTTATCTTGTGTCAAAAAAAAAAGCTTTGCCTCTGTGACCCGGTGTATTCTTCACTACCATTGGGAATTCCAAGACTTCCGCTTCATCAATCATTTTAGCAAAATCTCAACCAAGTTCTACTTTTCAAACTATAATTGGTTTTCAGTTTTCTGGTAAGGGAATATTTATGGGTCTCTCCATCCTGTGTGTAGAAATACATGTGGTAAGTGGAAATAAGAAACATAGAGAGGGTGGAAATTCACTTAGGAATTATGACCCCTTGGTCTAAGGTGTCTGATTCCCCCTTCTTACGTGTTGCCAAAAGTCCTCTGTGTTCCTGCTTTTCCTCTCTGGTTTCTGAGTGTCAGGTTCGTCAAATCTCATTCTCCCTCAGACTTCAGCCTTCTTTAGTTCAATGCTGACCTCCTGCCTTGGAGGAACTTGCTCTCTTACCTACAGGACAGAAGTTAATATGGAGATGACATAATAGGCTTATTCTTACCCGCCAATCAAATACCCTATAGGCGCACGTGACTACTATGAACCTCAGAGAAACTCCAGGCTGGATACTTGCCATCTTGCTGTGCTCCAGGTGCCACACAAGAATGGTCACATCTCTCCCAGATGTACTGCAAAGTCCCTGACACTCGAGGGGGATCCTTGACAGGAAGGAATGTCACAGAGCAGTGTTCTGATGAGGAATACATACATGGTCGGTGCTACCAGGTCCCTCTTCTTTCAGCTTTCAGCCTAGGTGCCTGTCACCAAGACCCTTTGACCAGTGACTTGAGCCACCTAGTGGCAGAGATTCGAGCTCTCAGAGGGCAGTTGGAGCAGAGCATTCAGGTGAACAATTGTCTGCGGTTGCAGCTGCAACAAAAGTTGGATGGTGGTGCTCACAAAGCCGACCTCAAGCCCTCCTCCATTAGCCAGAACTTCTCAGCCAACAGCGAGCCTGGAAACACACAGCCATTCTTCCAAGGTAGGAAGGAAAGAGAATCTAGAAGCCCTCAGCTGGTGGAGATACCAGGGCACAGGGTCAATCATTTTTAAAAAAAAAAAAAAAATTGTGTGTGAGTATTTTGCCTGCATGTATGTCAGTGTATCTGTGGGTACAATGCCTATGGAAGCCAGAAGAGGGCATTGGATCCCCTGGAATTACAGAAGGTTGTTAGCTGCCATGTGGGTGCCGGGAACCAAACCCTGGTCTCCTGTAAGAGCAGCCAATGCTCTTAACAACTGAGCCATCTCTCCAGCTCCACAGGCAACAATCCTGCCTAAACTTCTCTATTAGGATCTGGCTGAATGGGAAAAGTTTTTATGTGGTTGCCTGAGTGAAAGCCTGGGATTCAGTATCAGACCTTTCTCCAGAGTCTGAGTTTGCCACTTGCAAGTTGTCTGCTGTGGGCAAAGTATTGAAACTCTCAAGTATTTAACTCTCAGTTTTCTCCACTTGAAAATGAGACTAAAAAAAAAATGTTTTTTTATCACATTAAATGAGATTGTTTCCAAGTGCTGGAAACAATAAGGATTGCTCAATAATTAACAGCTACAGATACTACTATAGATCCCTGGATAGTACTTTTGAATTAACCAGATGTCCCCAAATGTATAATTTCACCTGAAATAGGGTATTCCCATCTCTGCATTTCACTTGAGAAAACTGGAGCTCCAAGACATTTAATAGAAAAGCAAGGGTCACAGGGGTTAAGGATCAGGGTTAGGACCCGATGACTGCACTTCGTTGCAGCACTGACTCAGCGGATGATGGTCAGACTATTGAGTCCTTCATGGACCATCCATTCTTTGCTTTTGTCCTCTCTCTGTCTGGTCTGAGTTTGCCACTTACAAGTTGTCTGCTGTGGGCAAAGTATTGAAACTCTCAAGTATTTAACTCTCAGTTTTCTCCACTTGAAAATGAGACTAAAAAAAAAATGTTTTTTTATCACATTAAATGAGATTGTTTCCAAGTGCTGGAAACAATAAGGATTGCTCAATAATTAACAGCTACAGATACTACTATAGATCCCTGGATAGTACTTTTGAATTAACCAGATGTCCCCAAATGTATAATTTCACCTGAAATAGGGTATTCCCATCTCTGCATTTCACTTGAGAAAACTGGAGCTCCAAGACATTTAATAGAAAAGCAAGGGTCACAGGGGTTAAGGATCAGGGTTAGGACCCGATGACTGCACTTCGTTGCAGCACTGACTCAGCGGATGATGGTCAGACTATTGAGTCCTTCATGGACCATCCATTCTTTGCTTTGTCCTCTCTCTGTCTGGAGCTGGAACATGCTAGGCAAGTGCTCCACTACTGAGCCTCACTACCAGCCCTTGCTCAACATTTTAACATCTATAGTATGTATAGTTATGCATATTAATATCTCATTTCAAGGCATCATACAAAATTACACTAGAAACTGGGTTTATAAGATTATACCTAACAATTTGTTAAGCTACAAGTTGTAGTCTCTTAAAACATCCTTCAATTAAGGAGCAACTATTCTGAGGAACAGAAACATATCCAGCTAAGTGCTTTGCTGGCCCTTGCTTTGTGCTATAGCATAGGGGGCTGATTAGAGGTCTTGGGCTATGAGAAATTGTGGTTTTACTCCCTAGGCTCAGCTGCTTCCCCTCCAGTCCGGGATGTTGGCTTGAATTCTCCACCCATGGTCCTCCCTAGCTCTTCCTGCTCTGCTCCTGGCTCAGACACTGCTGTCATCACTAGGACAAATGGTAAATATGTCAGTGCATGGACTTAGATGATAATGGAAAAGTATTAAGGCCAGCAGCCCTTGGTTGGAGGGCTGTCTCCGGCTTCTTGGTCATCCTCTTCCTGCACATTCCCTGCTGCTGTTGATGGGTGTCTTTGTGTCTTTTCTTGTTGCTGTGGCAAAATACACTGACAAAAGCCATGTGAGAAAAGGTTTTTCTGGCCCACGGTTCCAGGTTACAATCCGACCTAGCAAGGAAGTCTTGGTAGTTTAAGGGAGCGGAGAGCAGTCCAAGATCTCCTGTCCACAATTAAGATGGGCCTTCCTGCTGGGCATGGTAGCACACGCCTTTAATCCCAGAGGCAGGTGGATCTCTGTGAAACCAAGGCCAGCGTGGTCTACATAGTGAGTTCCAGGCCAGCTGGGGCTACAGGGACACCACGTCTCAAACTACACCACCAAAAAGATGGATCTTCTCACATCAATTAATGTAATCAAAATGATATCCACAGGCATGCCCAGAAGCCAGCCTCCCAGGTGACTCTAAACTTTGTCAAGTTAGCAATTAACACTACCACAAAAAAGATTAAATTTGTCTTGTGGCAAGTTTATCCTAAGAGTAGTTACAAACATATAGACCAGAGTGTCTGTGTGGACTTCACCGTCCTGTACTTTTGCAGACTGCCTTTCTCTGGCCTCTCTCACTGTCCCTTTAGAGTAGAGTGAACTGAGGGTATGATTATATATGACAGTGGATCTTGTTCTGTTGTGTTTCTTCTTCTTCAGAGCTTCGTTTGGATGATTCTGCAGTGATGAAGAACCCTGCGGAGCTGGAGGGAGAGGCTACTGATGGCTCCTTTGCCAACAAGCGTGGCCGACATGTCATTGGCCATATTGATGACTACAGTGCTCTCAGACAGCAGATTGGGGAGGGCAAGCTGCTGGTCCAAAAGATGCTGTCTCTAGTGAGGCCAGCACACAGCTTCCCTGGACTTGAAGCTCAGGGCCCAGAGGTAATGACCCCTACAGCCCTTAGGTGCTCTCTTCTTGGCTCTTTCTTCCTCTGATTTACTTCCTTTACCCAACACTTATTTCCATGCCCTGCATCTCCCAAAAGCTGAGGGAGCATCATATATTTTATCCCTGCAGGCCCTTTCCTTTCTCTCTACATTTTACTCTGCTGCAGAGCAAGCTGACTAGGAATTTTGTCTTAGAATCCCAGAAAAGCCTCCAGTTTCTAACAGTACACCTGTGTGACACTAATGTAGCAGGACAGTGTTTAGCACCCTCTGGCAGCTTATTATCTGAAACATCATGTTGGCACAAAGCCATGTCTGAGGAGATTAAAATCAATCAGGTGAACAGATGCTGGGCTAGGTGGTCAAGAGGGTGCAGACACCAGTCGCTATGTTGTCTGGGACACGGGACATTGGTGGGGGCATAGGACAGCCCTGTTTTCAGTAACCCACTACTGGAGAGCAAGACATAGATCCTGGTTGATACGCTCAAAAAGGGGCCACAGATTAGTAGGAGGGAGTATTACAGACAAGGAAGGTATAGTTTCATAGAGGATTTAACAACAGGGATGAGTTCTTTGTTTTATTGTTGTTATTGTTTTGTTTTTGAGGAAGGATCTCACTATGTAGCCCTAGCTGTTCTGGAACTCACTATATAGACCAGGCTGGCCTTGAACCCACAGAGATCTGCCTGCCTCTACCTCCAGAGTGCTATGACTGAAGGCATGAACCACCACACCAGCTAGGGCTGAGTTTGGAAACTTGGTAGGGTGTCCCTGCAGAGGGGTTCCAGGCAAAGGGATCAGCAGGCCCGTGTCTGTAAGGGGAAGAGTTTCACAAGCCTGTGCTCTATGCTTGTTCACACAGGAAGCTTGAGCCCTGGGCTCCAGTAGTGTCCACGATGACCTGTCTTCTTTCCCCAGGTGCCAGGTAGCAAAAGTGTTCATGAGCTGCGGAGCAGTGCCAGTGCCCTGAACCACACCCTAGAGGAGTCCGCATCCCTCCTCACCATGTTTTGGCGAGCAACCTTGCCAAGCTCCCATGGCCCTGCACTGGCAGGCAGAGAGGTAAAAGGCCATGTCTTCTTTGATTCAAGCCCAACTCTTCCACCCCAGTACAGCTCTGCCTTCCCACCCCCACAGCTTTCCTGATGGGTGCTGCATGGTGAGTTGGGATAGACAGAACTTTCAGGGAGCATCCTGGTGGGAGACACCTGAGCCATGATGGCTGCTTCATTGCAGTTCTAACACATCCATTTCCACCTCCAACTCTTGATAAGACATCAAAGAGGTGAAGGAAAGAAAATGGAAAAGCAGACATAACCAGCCTGGTCACCCAGATACATCCAGTTTCTGCAACCCTGAAGTTTGGTTGTGCTGACCCAGGGACCTGTTGACACTTGGACCTTCCTTCTCCACCCCTCAGGTCCACCCAATCAGAAGATCACAGAATGCCTTGCCACCCAGTGCATCTTTTAACCATGGTCTGGAATCTCAACCATCTTTTAAATTTGAGTCTCTGGGTCAGGCCTAGGGAAAGTCAGCCACCTCTTGGGGTCTGCTTGGCTCTCAGGCTGGCTGTGTTTGGCAGATCCTCAGGTAGATGGGTTTCAGGATCTCCCTCAGGATTCCAGCTGCAGATTAATCTTCCTGCTATCTTTTGGGACCCAACAATGCTAATCCAGGTGCTTTAATATCTTTACATTGGCACAGATATTTGGACATCTACCCACTGTTTTCTGGCCAGCCATCTCCCCAGAGTAACATCCCTGAACTCCTCAACATCATTTGTGCTGAGAAGTAAAATAAATTATACAGGTCTAAATGGAGCCCTTGCTCACAGTTAAGAGTTTGGTACTGGCCCAGAGTGAGGCTCCCCCAGCCATGGAGCACCAGTGTGTCTAGTCTGCTTGTAAACTCTGGGTTCATCATGTTCCTCCCTGTGACTGGTCCTCATCTGTTTCCAGTTGGGCTTGGAAAGCATTAGTGGTGGAAACAGTCCAGAGTGTTCAGGGGGTGGTGGCATTCTGCTCTGGACTGTTAAAAGCCACAAAGCACAAGGTATGTTCAGCCTTGTGACTGTGGTCAGACCCGTCCTTCTTCCTCAGGGAGAACTGATGGAGAAGGAACTCCGGGACCTACGAGTCCAAGTATCCCAACAGGAACAGCTCCTTCAGAGCACTGCTGAGCGTCTGAAGACTGCCAACCAGCAGAAAGAAAGCATGGAGCAGTTCATCGTGAACCAGCGTAGGTAGCTCTGAGGAGCATGCGGAGACAGCTCTTCTAGGCACCTCACCATGCAGCAGAGGAACAGTGACCAGAGGGGCCCAGGGATGTTGAGAGAGGATGAGTAACTGTTGTTGCAGAGGGAGGGGGAGCAGTCATCAAGAGTCCCCAAGCTGAGTGGCAGAGGAAATGCTTTAGGGCACATATGCCAAGCAAGTTGACCCAGCTGGTAACTTCCACTTTGTGGGGCTGTTTTATTTTTCCAGTCACCAGGACCCATGATGTGTTAAAGAAGGCAAGGACTAATTTAGAGGTAAGGAAACCACTGTACCACTCAGCTAGAGTCTACCCTCAACTCGCCACCATCTGCCATTATGTCTGTGGGGACCCATCTCTGACCTTCTAGGAGATTTCTGGTCCAGTGTAGGTCATGGCTCCTCAGTGAGCCCCACCTAGTTTCCGCTGCCTCACCTCCCTCCCCTGAGCTCTCCTGTCTTCCCTCACCTTATCCTCATCTCTCCTTTTCCTGCATTTATGTGAGGTGAAGAGGTTGGTGCCATGTGATACAGTTGGTTCTTGAGGATGGTTATATTTGGAGTCTGCCTGCAAGTTAGGTGTAAAGGGCTCTTGAGGCCAGTTGTGCATTCTGGAATTTCATAAATGGCTCTATGAAAAATGAAAGTGAAGTGTAAGGTCATATACTGCACACTGTGAGGTTAGGAACAGCAATTTGGTTGTCTTTAAAGACCACAAAAGATCTTTATTTAGTCTCATTGATCTAAAAAAATACTTGATAATAAATACTGAACCTTAAGGGAAAACATTTTCTATCCATGCCAGGTGTTCGCCACAGTTATTTAAAATGCTAAGTGATGGGTTAAATATGGTGGGGCACACCTTTAATCCCAGCATTCAGTAGGCAGAAGTGTGAAACTGAGGCCAGCTTCAATCTTCATAGTGAGTTCCAGGCTGGCTAGGGCTATAAGGAGACCCTGCCTCAGAAATTAAATAATTAGGGGCTGGAGAGATGGCTCAGCAGTTAAGAACACCGACTGTTCTTGCAGAAGACCCAGGTTCGCATCCCAGCACCCACATGGCAGCTAACGACTGTCCTTCTGACCTCCACAAGCATCGCAGAACATAGGTATACTTACATACATGCAGGCAATACACTCATTCACATAAAATAAAAATAACATTTTTTAAATTTAATAATTAAATTAAAAATAATAATAAAGCTAAGTGCTGATCTTTCCCTAGGAAGTACTACAAGAAGAAAAAACTTGATGCATATGATACGGCTTAAAGATCAGAAACTACCCTCTAAATTTAGACTTCATACTGCTAGAGCAGTTGAGCATCTACCTAGAAATGTTCCTAAGTTGTGATCTGTGACAGTATTGAGCCCCACGTGTGTGGACATGGGTTTAGTTCACTTTCGTTTTGATCTGATCCCCTCTGGTTCTTTTCTGATGATTCCTTTCTTTCCTGAGCCTCTGTAGCACAACACTTACAAGATTGCCTCTGTGCAGCCTTGTTCCCGTCCCAGCAAAGGTAACCCAGCAGCTTCCAGCACCGCTGGCCCCTCCTGTGAGAGCTTTTCTCCTGATTTTCCAGGCCCCTGGGAGGGCCACAGGCCTGGGCATTACTGCTAGCCTGTCACTAACTGGCTGTGTTGCTTTGGGCAGTGGCTGCCCCCTCATCTGTACACAGTAGAACTAGTCTTAGATTATCTCTGAGGCCCTGTTCCTCCAGACCTCCTTGTGTTCTCCTAACCAGCTCTCAGTACGTTTGCCTTGCACTCCAGCCTGGGGCACTGTGAGCATGGTCTGAGCACTCACTCTGACTGAGTCTGTTTTCTCTTCACCTGCAGGTGAAATCCTTAAGGGCTCTGCTGATGGCTCCAGCCTTGTGACCCTTACCTTCCAGGAGCCACACAAGAAACGAAGCCAGAGGTCCTTAAAACAGCAGGAAGGATGGGCCTGCTCTCCTCCTGTGCCTCTGCCTATCTGCTGAGGAACACCTGGCCCCACTCCACCCCTGCTGGAGGTCCAGAAGAGGGCTTGGAGATGTGACCTGGTGGGGCAGTCAGGAAGGGGAATGGCTTCTTGGCAGCAAGGAATACAGCAAGGAATACTGTTAGCCAAGGCCCTCCGGGCCCAGCACTAAGCAAAACTCGCATAGACTGCATTGAAGGCCTGTGACACTGCTTCTAAACAGCCTCAGTGGCATGGCACCTGCCAAGTCACAGTTCTTGCCTCAGCAACTGTCCCCAAGACCGTCAACTCAGGGGAAACAGGACCCTGCCATCCACAAATAGGGTGTGTGGTCCCAACACCGAAGCTCCTCAGACAGTCCTAAAAGCACACTACTGAACAGCAGTGCCCCACTGGACAGTGCTGGGGCTCAGCAAGCTCCACTCACAAACCCACACTTGACCCAGGACAGCCTTGTGGGCCAAGCCAGGCAGGCTTTGGCCTGTACCACCCCACAGGAGCTCTTTGAGTTCACACAGCAAACATGGTGACTTCCTAGGTGCCCTCTTACGCTTAGCCTAGAACCTTCTGTTTCTTACAGACCTGACCTCCTTACATATGTTGGCTCCCTTGTCATCCTAACTTCCCGCATGAGATCTGGGAACTGATGGTCATAGGACACCTATTGAATGTCTAGCATACAGCACAACTGTACCCCCTTTTAGGTGGCATGGGTGACGCCTGCTCTGTACTGAAGACTGGTCTGTCTTCACAGTGCTTTGTAGGGTGTGGGTGTATAAATGTATGATACAGATTTATATATGCTGCTGTAGCTATATGTTGAAGGCCAACATAATGTGCAGACAGGGTGGTGAGAAGGTAAACAGTCTTTTTGGTGGCTATTAAAGCAAAATGTGTATAAAGAACTTGTTTTCCTTTGCCTGCTTCATCTCTCATTTCTGTATCAGTTCCTAGAACAAATGTGTAAGCGTAGGAAAGACGGGAATAAGAAACTTCCAGGTAGGTCTGGAGAGATGGCTCAGGGTGAAGAGCTTGGACTGCACTTGTAGAGGACCCAAGTCCAGTTCTCAGCACCCACATCAGGTGGCTCACAACCTCCCGTAACTTCAGCTCTGAGGAGCTTCAACACCTCTGACCTCTGCAGACACCTGTACTCAGGTGCACATACTTACCCCCCCCACATACATATAATTAAAAATAATGAAAAAGCAATCATTTTATTAAAAACCCAGAGGCTATCCCTTCACGAAGGTTTAAGTGGTCACTGTTTCATGTCTTGCCATTTAGTAAACTCCCCATTCTGAAGGCATGAAGGAGTGGCTCCTATCCTTCAAATGCCTTTAATCACTGGTGAAACCTGGAGGACGTACTTCCTGACTGTGATCGCAAAAACTTGAGTCAGGGGCAGCCCTGGACTCTGCATCTTCTGCACAAGCCCTCCAGGTGCCTGTGGTGTGCTCAATACCATTGAGCCAAGGTAACAGATTTCAGAAACTTTAACTGAGATCTGGGAACTGATGGTCAGTCTATAAATGTTGAAACAAAAATCTTAAAACTAGAACAGGCATAGTGGCGCACACCTTTAATCCCAGCACTCAGGGAGCAGAGGCAGGTGGATCTCTGTGAGTTCAAGGCCAGCCTGGTCTACATAGTAAGTTCCAGGACAGCTGGGGCTACAGGGAGACCCTATCTCAAAATCAAAACAGAAAAACTATTCCTTGAGAAAAAAAATTGTTATTTTCTTTTGCTTTCCAGAATTAAAAGTAAGCTATTGTTCCACTAATGTTTCCCCAAAACAGCTAAAAATAAAAACAATGACAGCTAGAACAGAAAACTTAATAACTGTCAGCATGGTTACCATCATCACCCCGCAGTAACAAGAGATGCTGACCTTGGAAAGAGACAGGGTCACCACCACCACTATATGACAACAAACTCCACACCTGCTTCTATATGCAGATGTGAAGCACTGACTTGTGTGCTCTTGGCTTTGAAGTATGAAGGGACCATTATAGAACTAGCTGAATGGATGGAAAGTTAGCAGAGAGATTACCACTTAATGACAAAGTAGCAAGAAGCTGGATGCAGGCCTGTGATTCCAGCACCCGGGAAGGGAGATTGTATACTTGAGGCTAGCCTTAGCTACACGGAGGGACCCTATCTTCAGGAGGGAGAGAAGAAAGAGGGGGAGGAGGAAGAGGAAGAGGAGGAGGGGGAGGAAGAGAAGGAGGAGGAGGAAGAGGAGGAGGAGGAGGAGGAGATAACAATAGCAAAACTTGAGAGCCACTATCTGTTACCATTGCAGTGCTGCCCATAAATCTTCCTTCCTGTATGCTGACAGGGATGACCACCTAGTTTAAGTCCTCTGTGGAGGACCAAAAGTTCCAAGTAAGTCATTTTCCTCAGGATCAGCATAATCTCCCTGTCTTAGTTTACTAGAAACATTGATGACATTAGTACCATGCCAAGGGATCTGGTGGACCCAAGCAAAAGTTACTTCTAAAGAAAAGCTTTAAAGCTGTCGTCTTTATCCTGAGTCAGTGCTGAAAAGTTACTCTATGCCTTAGTAAAAATGCTGATTGGAAAACATCTTTGAGAGGGAGCGTCTCCAATATTTAACTTTTATAAGTTATTTTTTTCTTGTATGTGCCAGGAACAGAGTTCATTGTTAAAATACAACGGGGGCGTGGGTAGTCAGGTGTGGTGGCACACACCTTTAATCCCAGCACTCAGGAGGCCCCAGCACTCAGGAGGCAGAGGCATGCTGATTGTGAGATCAAGTCCAGGCTTGTCTACAAATCGAGTTCCAGGCCAGCTGGAGTTACAGAGAGACACTGTCTCAAAAGAAACCAACAACAAAAACAAGGGCTGGAGAGATGATTCAGTGGTTAAGAGCACATGTTGCTCTTTCAGAGGATCAGAGTTGAATTCCCAGCATCCACATGAGGTTGCTTACAGCAGACTGTAACTCCAGCTCCATGGGATCCATCCACCTTCCTCTTCTGGGCCCCACAGTCACCTGCACTCGTGTGCACATGCCTCTACTCAGACACACACAGACGCCCATAAATAAAAATAATAAAAATAGAGACTGGAGAGATGGCTCCACAGTTAAGAGCACAGGCTGCTCTTGCAGAGGACCTGGATTTGGTTCTCAGCTCTCAACCATCTGTAACTCCAGGTCCAGAAGGTTCAATACCTTCTTCTGGCCTCTGCAGGCATTGCACATATGGGTTTGTTTATATACATGCATTCAAAACACTAATACACATAAAATAAATATAAATAAAATTTTATATAAAATAATAAAAATTAAAAATAACAACAACAACAAAACCCTCAGTTTTGGTGTCTTCTAATTTGTCATAATTCAAATAAGTTCCCCGTTGAGTCCTGTGGGGAGATGAGAACTGAAGGGACAGAAAAAAGAATAAGCACTTAAAATGTGTGTAAAGATCCCTTGACTTGGTAATTTTTGTCCTTCAGAATTTACATGGGGCTTGTCCTGTCTCTCAGGTCAAACCACTGCTGAAATGGGTGAGCTGTGTATTTGGATTGATTTTTCTGTCCCTGTCATGACAAATTTCTGTAAACTTCATGGCTTAACAAAACACAAATCCATTGCCTTACAGTTCTGTAGGCTAGGATTCCAGGAAGTCAGCAAGGGTCCCTCAGGGCCTCAGGGTGTCTGCAGGGTTGCTTACCTTCAGGATATCCTTAGACATCCTCTGCTGCCTTGCCTTTTATGGTTTTTAGAAGCCACCCCCCCCCCTCCGCCGCAATCTTCCTTTTCTGGCCTCCACCTTCAAACCCAGCAACCCAGGGAGCATCCTCAGTCTACCACACCGAACTCCTCTACTTCCTCTTCTGTATTTAAAGACTCATGTGATTGCTTAAGGCCCTTTTTGTAATCCAAGATAGTTCTCCCTTCTCAGAATCCTTCACACAATCTTATCTGTAAGAATCTTGCTGAGTGACCAAGAGGCCAAAAATACACACTGGAAAAAACATGCTCAACAAACAGTACCTGTCAAACTGGATATCTACATGTAGAAGAATGACACTAGATCCTTATCTCTCACCCTGAATCTGATAGAGAAGAACGCTAGAGAATAGACTGGAATTTATAGGCACAGGAAACGGCCTTCTGAACAGGACCCCAATAGCACAGGCATTAAGACACTTTGGGGTTTTATTCTCATAATAAAATTTATTCTCAGGGAAGAACATTCATGAACATTCCCTTACTCTACAGTTACAGCTACAGAGCAACACATTATTTCATTCACTTTAAAGATGAGTAAACAGAAATCCAGAAGGTATAATCAGCTGTTTGCCTGCAGTTATAAAAGCCAGCTCTCAGGAAGAGCTTGGGAAACTTTTACTTTAGTTCAGGCTCTCTGCATTCTGAGAACCTGTTTCCTGCCCTTAAGTAGTAGATGGGTGTTGACTCCTGCCCTAAGCCAAAGGGAGGGCAAGCACAGTTGTAATACTGTGATCGCCAACCCAGTGTATTTCTGCTCTCTACTCCCATCCAGGCTATATGTAACCTGCCATGGCCTCAGTTATGATGTGGAAACTAGGGCAGATGGTAAAAATGTTATTAGTGGAGATGTGGAATGTCCGGTGAGTTTCAGACTTGGAGCATCTTGGTGTAACCAGAGCTATGATCCTCTCACCTGTGTTCAGCTTGCCTAGCCAGCCTGCACTAGAGGCCCAGCCTCTGGTGGCTGTCGGGGTCACCCTGTGTAAAGAGGTCTTTGAGATGTTGTATGAAGGAGACTAGAGGTCTCTCTTCTTATGGTAGTTGTTTGAACTTGAATCAGGAAATCAGTATTTCCTAAAGTGCAAGGGATGAAATGTTCAGATAGAAAGAGTATGATAATAGGTGATGAGGGTACTGAGCAATTCCATAACAGGATCCCCCAAGTACTTTCTAAGTACAATTCTGACTTGGTTTGGGTGAGCTGCTGTTTTTCTGTTTATTACATTTCGCATTTGTGACTTCTAGGCACCTTTCTCCTCACATGGGGACATGTGACCTTATTTTGTGTAGACTTCTCTTGCTCTGAAATGCCTGCCAATGAGTAAAGGGAACCTGAAGAATATACATGCAACCCTAGATCTTACATGTTGATAGGAACAAGTCACCTCTAGAATTATAGAACATCTCTGCCTGGTTCTCTGGGTGGGACAGACAGTAAACACCACAGCAAGTACATGATACAGAAACGACATGGGTGTAATTAGCCGCTTTGCTTTACCTGTGTCATGAATGTGGCTGCTTTTGGCTTCTATGTGGTACATTAAGGGTTGCCTCCATATTGTACATGATCACTAGTCTCCCTGGTCACTGATTGTCTCCTGGGGGCTGGTGCTTCTAGAGATTCTGGTTCGTCATCTTCAAGATTTTCTACAATCAAACTCAGTAAAACCATTAGGCAGTTTCAGCTAGCCCCTTAGTCACACAGTGTCCTATCGGCACAGACACATAATTTATCTGCGTATGAGTACAGAAAGAATTCATGTTTGAAGAAATGACCCATGTGGTAGTTTGAATGAGACTGTCCCCCATAGGCTCTAAGTATTTTGTTATTTTGTCCCCAGTTGGTGAGACTATTTTGGGAGGTTTTAAGAGGTGTGGGCTTGCTGGAGGAAGCATGTCACTGAAGGCAAATGTTCAGGGTTCTTAAGCCTTGCCATATTTACAGTCTTTTTCTCTGTTTTCTGTGCCTGCTTGAAGATGTGATCTCTTAACTTTCTGCTCCTACTCTAGCCACCTCTGATTTAAGAGGTGTGGGCTTGCTGGAGGAAGCATGTCACTGAAGGCAAATGTTCTTAAGCCTTGCCAGATTTACAGTCTCTTTCTCTGTTTTCTGTGCCTGCTTGAAGATGTGATCTCTTA